ATTTAAATTTATATTTTATTTTAAATTAATTAATTAAAATTCGTAAGTTTTACTTTTAACGAAATATCAGAAATTCGCTGTAATTTTTTGGACAACTCGTAAAAAGTTGTTGCGTTTCGAATTAGCGATTTTTCATAGTTTTCTTTTTCTGGACTTTCATATTAAAGTAAAACTCTTCACTTAAACTCGTACACATTCAATCGAACTTATGACAGACTAATGACTTATGTTTAATTGTTATTTAAATATTAGGAAAGTTTTAATGATATAAGGTTTTTGTTTTTGTTTTTTCGTTTAGTATTTTACAGCGAAATCAGATTCATCGAAGAATTTAGAATAGAGTTTACAGAGAGTTGTAATATTTCGAGTTATGTACATTTGAGACTTATTTGAAGTGGGCAATAACTAAACTATGTTAAACATTAAAAAAAAACTGTCACACTTCTGACTTAAGCATTAGGATCTCATATATTACTGGGCGGTCCGCGGTGTGCACGCTGTCCATGCAACGTGGATGAATGTCTAGAGCCGGGTCGGGAATGTACAATTGCATAATCGTTATCAATTGGAACAGACCTTCGAAGTAGTACGTTGATAAGTTCAATACAAAATCAATAGTTAATTATAATATATATGTTTGTATATATATGTATGTGGCATATTTCAGTGGAGAATCTGAACAGTTTAGTTAGCAAATATCATTGAGCAGGACGGTTAGTGTCTTCGGGTGTGGGCCAATGGAAACTCAAAGATCTAAAGTTAAAGTTAGTCATAATTTGAATTTGAAAATGCAAATTATCAACGGTTAATTACAGTTGCAATACAAGGCACAATTAGATTCATTCTTCGATTCATTCATAACTTTTTGTTTGTGAACACAAGTTGTTTTCTTTTGTTTTTGTTTTGTTGTAGATGTTGTCCAGCAGGGCGGGTAGACTTCAGTAGAGTTAACAATAGATACGAGTTTAACAAATTACGATACATAGATACGGTACAAGGCTGTTTAGACATGCTTTATATATGTATATGTTTGTGTCTGTGTGTGTGTGTGTGTTGGCTACCAGAAAATATTGAAGAGCAGAGCAGATGCATATCAAGTGTAGAATAGAGATTTGTGTCTGTGTGTGTGTCGTTTGTAGATCAGCTTAATATCTATCAGACCTATTTGAGTGTATCGTCGAGCCACCGCTAGTATAGCCCTTGTGCGCATCTCGGCCATGCAGCGAGTACCGGGAGCCATACTGACTGCCATGCCAGCTGCGATAAGGATCGTATTCCTCAATGATCGAGGGCTCCTTCTCAATGATCTGCAAGAGAGACGATGATGTATTTTACTTGTATTGGAAAAGAGGAGACTCCACAGCTACCTCTGTATTGGCGCAGCTACAGCTCATGGCAGTGCAGAGGAAAATGTTCATTAGCAGCATGATGAGGAACAGAACTCCGAGTGTGATGGCCAGCCACAGTAGCCAGCTGGGTCGAATGCCATCCTCGCAATTTGATGAAATAACTGCAAGTTGAATAATAATTAATGTAAATTTCGGTTCATTTCAGGATAACAATTTCCGAATTCTTCTTACGTCGCGCCTCGGCGGGATCTAAGACGAAGACCGTTGTGCCCGCAATGCTGGAGCCCTCCTCGTTGGGGCCAAACTTGCGTGGGCCATTGCCATTGCCCTTGGTGAAGCCAGCCAGAGCCACCTGACTGCAATCGTCGATCTCTACGCAGCGTCCATAGCACTGAACGACATCGCACTGCAGATGCACCTCAGATCCTGTCAAGAAATTTGAGAGTAATAATAATGATCATTGTCCAGTGGCAATTTACGCCTCAACCCACCCTCGGGGAACTTGAACATGGAGTCCAGTGTTGCCTCCGCCGCACGGCCGTCGATCGTGGGCACAAAGCGGCTCATAAGGTTGGGATCATAGGGGCAGCTGTGCATGAAACAGAAACCGTTAGTTGCCGTTACAGTGGCTAGTGGAAGGCTGCGCTGCACTTACCCGCGATCGTCTGTCAGCTCCAGGGTGATGTTCTTCTTGTCAAAGGCAAAGCAGTTGCCCACACGCAGGCCATAGGTATCTAATTATTGAAGGGAGTCTTGATTAGTGATCTCTGTTGGCCGTCGGTGGACTGTGTTGATTACTCACCGTTTGGCTTGGAGAACTCGGCGCGTATCTTGTACTTGTGGCCGTAGACCGTTTCCCGCACGCGGTGATCGTTCTCCAGGAACTTGAGAACCACATGGGCATTATCATCGCTGGGAATTTGAATGGAAATGGAAGTTGAAATGGGAAGGGAAATGGAAATGGATGTGGCACATTGGCTAATAGCTATCTAGGTGGACTTCCCCAATTGCGCAGTGGCTAATTAAAAGCGCAGCCAATAGACCCGAAAGCTGCAGTCCACTGTGACTCGCTTGCAGTTTCATTATGCATTATGCATTATGCAATTGCYGGCCATTGCGTTATAGACAGTTGCGTTTTATGCCAAATAGACGGGCATCGACAGCGACTCCACAGCGACATCGACATCGACATCGACCAGCATATACCATATTATATGAATAGTTTTCATTTTCACTATCTTGTTTCCCGTTTTGTGCATTTCTGACAATTTGTTGTTTGTTTGCTCATTTTTTATTTAATTTGCTTTTGGCTTTCGGCTCGTGTTTTCCTGTGTGCCGTTAACAGAGCGCAACAATTTGCAGAAATTGTTGGCTTTTTAGCCAAAGCAAACAATTTTTTCTAAATTGTTTTTCTATTTGAATTGAACGAAAGACTTAGACAACGAACTTGCTCAATTCAGCATTGTGGCAAAGTCATTGGCATTATGCAAATGAGGCGAAGGCAAATTAAATTGTTTCTTCAACTACAGATTGTAATCTTTCAGAGAGCTACCATAAATAATTTACCGTTCATTTGAGCCAGTTGTTCAGGTGAAATAATTTGGGTGCAAAAGCAGAATAGAATTCCATGGAAACAAATGCTAATGGCCTTGAGTTCTATTTAGCGCTGATTCGTCTATAGAGAGATCAATAAAAAAATTGTTCTATAGAAAGGCAAACACCTACGAGTACCTATGTGTGTATATATTATGTATATATTTATATGTATTTATATCAGTCGGCATAATTCGATCTTTGTTTTCATTTGTTTTGCGCCGACGCCGCAAACGAGTTTCGTGGAATAATCTGGCAAACGCTGCCAAAACTCCAAGCACTCGAAGCACTTTGGCCTGACGGAAGCTTAGCCAAATTACAAGCATCTACATACGAGCAGTCAGCAGTAGTAAGTGCAATCGTCTAGACAGCTACAGCTAGAGGTTCAGCTTCAGATGAGGTAGTCAAACTTACCGAGAGTAGCCCGATTTGCCACA